TCTTGGTAGCGATAAAAGATAGATAGATAGAACTCTTTTCTTTTCATCACATATTTATTCTTAATTCATTAAAACAAACAAATTATGACATTACATAATAACACTGAAACACGGAAACATAGAGTACAATAATACACATCCAGACACGAAAACATTCTATTTTTTCTTTTTCGTAAGGTGTTCTCAAAATAGAGCAAATAACATTTCTATTGGAATAACAAAAATAAGAAATTTCACACAATTATACAAATACATACATGTAAACATAAATAACACGACAAATAACATATAAGGCGGGCACGATACATTGAAAAGAACAGAATATAAAGTAGTCGTATTACAAAAGTAGAAAAAAAAATTTATGGCCCTTTTTACTGTTCTTGAGTCGATTAAACAATGAGAGATCATTGTAATAAAGTATTTGTGCATTTTTAATACACAAAATGTCAATACGTTTAAGCATATATGTTTATGGGATCGGAATTAATATTGCTGATGAGCTCGTGGTGGGCGATGATGGCAAAAATTACAATATTATTGGACAAGATGGCTTGTCGATCTCTCTCTGTCTCTCTTTAAGAAAGATATCTGTCTTTAGGGAGGGATAACGGCAAAAAAGAATCGATCATTCGACGGTGGTTTGTTTTAGATCTCGTAGGCCAATTTTGTGTAAAACGAAACGATTGTCAAACATACAAAACATTGACTTGTATAACTGACATTAAATAAAGAGTTTGTTCTACATTATTCAGTCTATAATGCACGGCGGATAATACCCGAGCCTGGTGGAGCGTAAGGACCAATACCGAGTCCTCGATCAATTCCTGAGCCTACCGAACCAGGATAGGGATAAGGTCCTACATGACCATATCGACCGATGCCAAGACGTCGCTCACCTGCTCCTAACAGTCCACCACCATATCCTCCAGGACCAACGGGTGAATAACCAAGACCTCGTGCGTACGGGGCACCACCATAATATGGTTCATCTAATGATGTTGTCCATCCAAAGCCAAGTGGCTGACCCTGCAAGCCGATTCCTCCAATACCGCCAGGATAACCATATCCACCCAGGCCTGGACCTATCGGGCCCACTCCGTAATCATTTATTGTTGTAGTGATACCGAATCCAATTGGAATCGCAGGTATGCCTAATCCACCAAGACCAAGTCCTCCTAAACCACCTAATCCGCCTCCACCCAGGCCGCCAATATTGCAACAAGAACCACCAAACCCACCACCGAGACCACCATAATTACCGATCCCTCCAATGCTAAAATAAAACATTCCGAAATAATAGTAACCAACAGAATAAGTAATAAAAAAAGCTGTTGCAAATGCACTTGATCTATATTTTTAAATCTCTTGCCGTAATTTCTGTTCTTTTAAAATATTTACTTCCTCTCGCCAAAAATGAACTTAGTGTTTTGCAAATAATAAGTACATACAATACTAGACGTGCACGGACAACAACCTTTCTTTATGTCATTTATTAAATGGTGAGAGTCTAAAAGATTTCCATTTTCTTTTTCATGCGCATACTTGAGTAACTTCAGGCAAGATTGTGCATTCAGTCATTCAGCTAATTAAAAACATTCTCGAAATATTTAATAAAAGGATGATTAGAATGCATGTTTGCGCTTGCACTTATATATTTTCGAACAGGTCATGCTAAAAAGCATTCTCAAGCAAGCTAAAAGCTTATCGGATTTCATCATACCGCTTGTGTATCAACTCTCAGAACATGGCCATTCTAGATAAAATATATATTCTTACATTCATCCTTATATTTCCGATAAATACCATTACAACAGAGAAAATCTATTTACCCGCCACATCCTCCGCCGCCGAATCCACCGCCGCCGAATCCACCGCCTAAGCCGCCGAATCCACCGAAACCGCCGCCTAAGCCACCGAGACCAGCACAGGGATTGCCGCCGAATCCACCGCCGCCATACATTCCTAAGCCACCACCTCCTAACATTCCACTAGATCCTAGACCGCCAAATCCGCCGCCTAAACCACCGATGCTACCATAATTACTCAAGCCCCTGGAAATAAGAAACAAACTGATGATAAATTATTCTGTGAATAAAATATACTTTCAGTATTGCAACACAGTTAAATCAGAATCTGACATACTATATTGGACGTAGACTTCTATCAAATAGCTTTAATTTCTGTTGATTTAATTAGTGATCAGTTACTGTCAATGTTAAATTAACCCGATATATGTGTTGCAACGGAACGCGGAAATAGAAAACATTCTCAAGTTATTGAATTATTTTTTTTTTAAAAATAATAAATAACGTTTAATTATAAAAAAACCGAGATATTTTAACTTACCCTCCCATTCCGCCAAACATACCACAAGGATTCATTTGTGGCATTTGACATGGGACCGGATAAGGCTGAGGGACGGGAATGCATTGTGGAGGACCAGGAACAGGTACAGGGCAAGGTTGAGGAACTGGAACTGGGACACACTACAACAATATATTGTTATGTAAAATGAATGATACAAGCAAATTTAATCGTTGACAAAATAAACGGTTGGATGTTTTTCAAGAAAGTTTGTCAGACTTTCAAAATATCTACTGTTTTAAAGTAAAAGACACTTCTATAGCATATTTTGGAATTTCTCTACTATCTCTTTACATCTTGTGTTTCATAACATATTATTACTATTAAGTTTATTATAGAAAATTGGATTGAATTTCTCATACGATTCTACTGTTACTAATATTATAAAAAATTATTTATCGTTTTATTTTCAAAGAAACAGTCTAGAATACGGGGAATTGCAATTTTCTAGTTAAAGAAATCGAAGTCTAAAATAAAAAACATCGTACCTGAGGTGGACCTTGTACTGGAACAGGTACTGGGCAAGGTTGAGGTACAGGTACGCACTAAAATTAACAATTTGTACACATATTGTATTCAGTAATTATAAAAGATCGTATGATAGTAATATTATTTATTAAGTGTCATATTGTCAAAGTTGAAGTGTATACTATGTAATGAAGTCAGTATTGTGTGATAAGAATAGTTTTGTATGACTTTATTGAGCTGAAGATATAAATTTTATAATTAAATATAACTCGTATTTATTATTAATTTCTGGGCTGTCATTCTTTTTAAAAAAAGGAAACAGTGGCCAATGTCAAATATTGAAGTCCCTCCTTACTTCGGATAAAATGAACATACCACTGAAAGAAGAAGTATAAAGATCTTTGTTAGTCTAGCATACATACTCTAATTTGCGGTGGACCTGGGACAGGTACAGGAACAGGGCATGGTTGTGGAACCGGTACTGGACATGGTTGAGGGACCGGTACTGGACATGGTACTGGTACCGGAATACACCTAAACCATAAGAAAATTGAAATTAAATTCTAGGTTAAAGCTGATGAAATATGGAACGTATTATTTACGAGTTAGCAGCAGTTGCTTAAGTACGAAGTGTTCATCTTTTTTTAATAGAGTCATTGGTCTCTCAACTCGATAAAATATATTTATACATTCGTTACGTTTTATTACTATTTCTTTTTTTTCTCTTGATAAAACTTGCTGTAGTAGGAAAGCATTGATACCGAAAGATTTTTGATATTGTCGAAAAGCATGTAGGTTCAACAGTATGGTTGAATGAGATGAATATCAACTTACACAGGTTGACATACAATTCTTTCGACAGGAACTGGTACCGGCACCGGACAGGGCTGTGGAACAGGTATGCACTAGAAGTAGAATATTATTATTATCGTTGTGGATCAGAAATAATTTATATAGCATCTCAACGAAAAGTAATTAGTATGTCCTTTGATTTATTTAGCTACTGATGAAAGTTAGTTTCTTTTAATACTACCATGTACGTTTATACTGAAAATAACACATCTGACAACATTATCTGATTCATTATTGCAATTCACAGAATCGGAAATTTCAATTATTTATATACCTGAATATATAGCAGCAATTTATATAAGAAATTACAAAAAACAACAATTTCTTTTCTGTATCTCATTGTAAACCTCCCCAAAGTTTGATAAGAACGCACGCTTGCTCAATGCGACACATGATTTCGACTAGAAAATTATACATACTTGAATTTGAGGGGGACCCGGAACTGGGACCGGAACGGGCACAGGACACATTTCTCTAGCAAAGAAAAAAATGAACGATGGAGAAGACGAAAAGCAAAATGATACCAAAGAGGAAGTCTTTTTACAAGTTTTAATGGCACGTCTTGTTCATGCGCTTTCGTCAATAAAATAATCGTTTTTCCTACGATATACATTTCAGTGACAATCAGATCAACCGATAACTTATAAACTATCATATCAGTCTAGTGAGTTTTTTCATTAAATTATTCTAATAACGAACAGACTAGTGTCTCTGTAATACGAAATATTGTTGGACATGGCCAATAAAACTCATAAAAAAGGCTTATTCTTCCATGTATTTCTTTTTAGCTTTACATTACTTACCGAACGGGTACGGGCACTGGGCATGGCTGAGGAACGGGAACAGGGACCGGACATTGTTGAACTTGAGGAACAGGCACTGGTACTGGTACTTGTACAACTCGTTCGACTGGTACAGGTACAGGTACTGGGCACGGTTGTGGAACTGGATAAGGCTGAGGAACAGGAATACAACACTGATTTCCTCCCATACCACCAAATCCACCTCCAAATGGTGAGCCGCCTCCAAATGATAAGCCACCTCCAAATGGTGAGCCACCGCCAAATGACATGCCACCTCCAAATGGTGAGCCACCTCCGAATGCTGCACCACCTCCAAATGGTGAGCCACCGCCAAATGACATGCCACCTCCAAATGGTGAGCCACCTCCGAATGCTGCACCACCTCCAAATGGTGAGCCTCCTCCAAACCCTAAGCCACCTCCCAAGCCACCAATATTACAAATTCCAGCCATATTTTCTTGACTAAAACCAAATGGATTAATTGAAGCACCATAGCCTGATAAACCTCCGCTAGCTCCCATGCCATAGCCGCCGGGTGCATAACTTGCGACCGAACTTAGCACTCCTCCGTAGCCTCCTCCAGTCATCATTCCAGCTCCGTAATTTGCTCCTGTCATCGGACCGTAATTTGCTCCTGTTATCGGACCGTAATTTGCTCCTGTCATCGCACCGTAATTTGCTCCTGTCATCGCACCGTAATTTGCTCCTGTCATCGCACCAGGATTTCCTCCGTAGCCTCCCATTCCCATTCCTAACACGGGCTGAGCTCCGTAAGACTGAACGCCATAAGATGGCTGAACTCCGAAACCGGTTGGGGCAACAGGGGCGCTAACTACGCCTCCAACTGCTCCTGTTTGGGGAGCAACTCCTCCTGTTTCAAAGCAAAAAGCTGGTGGTATAGATGATTGTTGTTGAGGTGCTTGCTGCTGTTGATTTAGAACAGGAGCACCATGAGCCTGAACTTGAGGCTGGGGTGGATACATATTTTGTGTGGCCCCACCGTACGCACTTCTAGCGTTTGCTGGATTGTATCCATAGGCTGCACCTTGTGATGCTTGCGGCCCATGCTGATATCTTTCGTATCCCGTTTGACCATAACCGGCTGCACTTTGCTCAATAAAACTGCTAGTAGGACCACCAATTGCACTTCCTGAATCGTAAAAATTTCCGCCTTGTGAATGATAGCCGCCTGATTGACCATAGCCAGCTCCTGTACTTCCATATCCGGCTCCATATGCACCACTACCAGCAACCGGCCCATTGAGACCACTTGAACTTCCATAATTATTTAAAATTTCTTGTGCACCACCACTATAAGTGCCGACATAACTACTACTTCGCGGAGGTACTCGGATGACTTTTCTGACAACTTGTGGTGGGCCTGATCTTTCAACTACTGTTCGTTCTTGTACGCGAGGGGGTGGAGTCATTGGTTCTTCTATTATTTCTTCGATTAGTTCTCCTGGTTGGCGACGGATATACACCCTTTCTAAAACATCTGGTTCTGGCGTTGGTAAACGATGCCTCACTTGACGTACTGGTCCCGGTTGATCAGGTAATCGAATAGCTTGCCGTCTAATTCTACCTTGTCTTCTTCTTAGATACATATCTCCACTATCAAATGCGGCTGCTGACGATTGCCCACCATGGTAGCCTGGTCCTATATCACTTCCATAATAGGAGTGAGCATACGATGTTGCTCCATTAGAACCTGCAGCCTGACCTCCACTAGAGTAGACTTGGTCATAATAGCCCATCCCATTGCTAGCTGGATATGTACGATAATCATAAGAGCTTGAACTAGAAGTACTCGATGTTGTTCCGTTTCCTTTCAAATAATTTCGTTTTGAGTGGTTTCCCCCAGACTGCTGATTGTAGGGGCCCATTATTTATATTTTCAATAGATGTTTACAGGGAGAAGATGAACTAAAAATCAGATAGAGTTCAAAAAATAACGAAAAAACCTTCGCTTTCTTTTCCTTTGTCTCTAGACTTTCAGAATTGGATACAAGTCTACACTTACCAAAACACAATTTTTCTTTAATATTTAGTATAAAGTAGTTTTAGAGAGCTATGTGTGTTTTTTTAAATACTACCAAAATATAACAACTATGCTAAATTTGGAAGAGTATGAATACAATACAAAAAAACAGGTATAAAAAAGAGAAAAAAATCGATGATATGAAATGAAAAATGTCGATTTAGATAACAAAAAAATAGAAAAAAAAACGTTCACTTGTGCAACATTTATACGAGCGGGCGCGCAGTTATGAGCAGAAAGGGGAGGACAAACAATGAATGACGTCTATTAAACAAAATATCCAAGTTTGTTATATTTTCTTTTTTCTATGAGTATACGTATGGAGGAAAGATATTGATGAAAAATGACATACCGTAGTCTTTTGAGTTTGATATTAAGGTTTTTACAAAAACTACTATCACGAGTAAGGGAATGAGAAGAGGAAATTATTTCCGGGATAAAGAAGCAGAGAGAGAAAGTAAAACATAAATTCATATATGTATTTTTACTCTCACTATACAATTGCGATTTCACGAATATTAATTCACAGTTTAAAAAAAAATAAAAAAAACTTTACATCATACACATAGATAGACGTACAATAATAATCAGAGAAAATAAAATTGTCTATATTATCACATTGAAACGTAAACGGAAATCGGAGTTATGGTCAAGGAACGGAAGATGCGATACACTGGTGCAATGACGGGCAAGTATTTCCTTTAGAGTTAGCCGATTATATCTGTCCGATCAAATGTCTTTGTCTATCCCATAGGTAGAGAATATCTATTTAATCAGGTTTTCTGACTACTTTCTATTTAAATTATATAAGACTTAAAGCAAACTTTAATGGCTTACCTTATGTGATATGTAAATCGTGTACGATAAAATAAAGTTGATTATATATAATCGATAATTTTCACTTAGCAGCGTCTGTTCTCCTCTAACTAAACCGAAGTATCCTCCAACTATTGAAGACGAAAGTATCATGTTATCCTTTGATCGATATTTATATACGCCTATTAAATGGAACGTTGACCATGAACTAGAATGTATAACTGAGCTTCGCTTGCTCGCTCTCCTTCTCCACGATTCATTTGCTTTTATCCATGGACAAAAAAAAATCGGATCAAAAGATGATGATTACACGGAGAATAGCGAACAATGAACCTTGTCCTTACATAGATAATACAATCGAGGACTTTTCTTGTTGTAAAAAATTAGTTTGCAGTTATTCATTATTTAAATAGATATATAGAGCCTTCAACAGACGCGAGCAATTACTGCTAAATCGAAATCAGACCAATCGGTTTGATCATGATCGATTATCTTTGTTTTATTTTAGTTAAGCGCTTATATACATTTACAATCTGTTGTCGAACTTCTTTAAACATACAATCTTATATGTGCTGGTATTTCTAAATCAGGGAAAGTGTATCATTCAATTGGCAAAACTTTGCGAAAAAGAATTTAGTTTTATGGATTTATTAATCAATTCTTAAGTAATAGATAAAGTGAGCTAATGGTGAATACGCGAGTAAAAAATTCAGTAATACTTAGAACTATTGAACCTAAATTTCGTATCTGTAAAATGATTTTCATCTCTGTTTAGAATCAACTTAGAGATAACATAAAAACTACTGAAACTTTCTTTTATAAGTATCTGCACAATTTTCAACATTTAGTAGCATACGCAGGCACACTTTTTAGTACAGAGGAGAAGAAGAAATAATAAAGAAAATATTTTGAGTACTTAAGAAACTCTCACGATCTGTTCATAGTTTCGAAATTCTTTTAATTTTTATAGAGATGCATTATTCCTAAACAAATTGAAATATCTCTTTCAACTCAAGGCTTATAACAGTATTTTTATAATTCTCATAGCCAAGAGTAGCTCTTTCAGAATATGTAAATAGAAAGAATCTACAATGTAAAATTATTATGGATTTTTAATTTTTGAAAATTTTCTTTTAAAATAAGCTTTCTAAACTTCTTCCTCAAAACACGCTAGGACTCTTGTTTATTAACATCTATACACACATTTATCTAAGGCAATTTTTTTATGCTATTTGAATGATATGCTTGGAAGTACTCTAGCATATTTGTTTAGATCACTATTTTGAAATAAAACAAACGAATATGATAAGAAAAATGTTAGCAGAATTTTGAAAGTATTTTAAGTAGACAGATAGCAAGAGTTCGTAACTGATTGAGTATTTTATAAACGGCTTGGACTCAACTGGGATACAATATATATTTTAATCAAGTATCTCATTTGAGAATATTTCAATTGAGAAACTAAAATTTCTGCCAAGATACTCATTTCTCAACTAAGATACAATTTTGACATGTACGTTGAAATATGCAAGAGTGCATGTACTAAGGTTTATTATTCAATAGTGGTTTAAAGGTATCCCCACCTCTATTTTTTCACCTTGTTGCCAAATACGTCCGATCGAGCTCAACTTTATACCAGAGATAGAAGAGGGAACAAGAAAAACATGATTTTCTATGAGTTTTCATCCAGTTACATTATGACCCCTCGACAAAATGGTCTGATCCAGGCGAAATTTTCATCAGACATACTCAAGGCTCTATCTCAGTTTCTAAATTTTTTTTCGAAAAATATGCTTTCCTTCTAGAGATACAAAACTAAAAACTAACTTTTTTTTCAGTGATTTTTAACATTTTTCATGTATCTCTAGAAGGAAAGCATATTTTTCGAAAAAAAATTTAGAAACTGAGATAGAGCCTTGAGT